ACAGAGATACAGACGACCACGGCGTGAACCAGCACGCTCGTCAGGGGTCACCTTTCCCGGGCCATCTCTAAAAACGTCGAGAGCAAGACGTGGGATTCGAGAACTTGGACGCCCATCACATAGTCACCACCCTCATCGTCCGAGCGATCCGCATCATACTCGTGCTCCTCCTCCTCTTGCCTTTTCCTCAACGCCCTCTTTTTCTTGACAAACAGGGCCTCGTCCGACTCTTCCTCCTCGCTGGAAGGATAGTCGTCGACAATGACCGTAATCATTTCCTCATCCCAGCACGGCTGGCCACCATCGTCCCCCTCGTTCGAGCCCTTCATGAGCATGTGGGGGACATATGCGACGAATTGGTTTGCCGAATTTTTCTTGGTGCGGGATGAGCGCTTGCCATTGCCGTCTTCGGCGCAAGAGAGGGATTGGTCGGATGGGTACCAGACTTCGTTATAGTCGTCGTGCTCGTAGGCATCCGACTCGTCCGATTCTTGGATAGGCTGGAGCTGGTGGTAGTGGTGATACGAGTCCTGAGCCAAACTGTGGTTCGTGCTCGCAGCTCGACCGTACTTGGGAGCAGAGTAATCGTACGAAGTCTGAAACAAAGCAAGGGAGGATGAGCATGGGCGACGAGCAATGAAGGAGGACAACACTTACAGATGCCGACGGTTCGATCTGCGGTTGCTCAGACACAGTCTGAATACTGCTAGATTGTTCAGTGCAACTCGATTCGTCTTCTTCGAGGATGCATTCGAGGACTGTGGGACAGGGTCAGTACATTCGACCTCATGGAATGGAAGCAAAGATGGACGTACACTTGTATTGAAGAGGGCTGGCCTGCATCGTGTATAGACAGATGGGTAGATGGAGAATGAGATGAGCGTTGTTGCGGAGGCTTGAGACGATGAGAAATTGGTAAAGGAGCAAGATGTAGATGGGGGGCAGGTGGGACGCTGGCAGGTTTCAAATAGGGATCGAAGGGGACGCTCACTTGACCGATTTGGCTAACCCCGGTGACTTCTTTTGTCGATCTGGAAAGAAGGTGATGGCGGATTTGACGTTTCTCGTGGTAGGCCACGAGTGGGCACGTTGAGTGCAAATTGGCTATTAGCTCGCTTCGTCGTCGGCGGGGTATTCGACTTTG